ACGTTCACCGACTTTACAGCTACTAGTATTATCCCTGGTCATCGGGCTACTGATATCTATCTATCCAATCTCCCTATGGAGTCTTTTAACTCCGCTTAGTGCAGCCAACACTTTGGCGCAACGGAATAATTCCACCTTTGCTATGGCAAATGCAAACTTTCAATGCATTTTTACAAAAAAGTATTAAAGATAGAAAAACAAAACTTATTAACTTTTAAACCTTTTAGTAAATATGACAATTTAAGATAGTTTTCATTTTTTTAAAGCGCGTAAAAATTGGAGTTGAATTTGCCAAAAACCGGCGCGGCAAAAAGAAACAGGCAGCTATTTATAGTACAATTTTGACTGTTCACTTTACTTATTTGGGAAATTTGATAAATAGAATATTAATTTCGGATATTTTATAATGAAATGATAAGGGCATTACTCATCATAAAAATCATCTTTTATCATACAAAAAATGTATACCTCTGATAAAGTGACGTTTGTGAAAACCATTTTGGCAAATTGATGTGGTTTGAAGTTTACAATCCATTGTAGATCACTGTTCACAATTGTCCTAAAGGGGTAACTTAAGGAAGTTATAATTGAGTCTGTATCTACGTACTGTATGTGGCCAAAGAATGATCCATCTTTGTGTTTAGCTCTAGGGAACGATATCATGTGTACTGTTTACAATTAGAAAAAAAACTTAACCTGAATAAAAGCTTAAATGGAAGCTCAAAGGATTTCTCATATATTGTCACTTTATAATGAAGAAAAGTTTTTTAGACAAGTCTAGCAAAACAAGCAGACCATTTTTTTATTGACGATATTACTTTTAGTACGTTTCTTTATAGCCTATTCTGAAAAGAAGCCGAAATGAAAAATCCAAAGTAAAGTTGGCCGCGACATCACTAAAATTCTTACATTGTCAACTAGATAATCCGGAATTTCTTTCAGTGCGTTCAAATCAATCCATAAATTGCATATTTTTATGTAAAATGTAGATAACATTTATACTTTACTTACATCAATAAAGCAAAGACGTTATTAGAAAATTTAAATTGTGTTAACAGCTTTTACCTTCTATAGGCTTATGTGCAAATAAATAACTAAGCTCTATAATATACAAAATTTGGTTAAAATACCACTGCAGCTATAGTTCTGAGTATTATAACACTTATATTTCATGCTGATTAATTTTGTCACACCTGCAGTTTACAAGAATCTATACTCCCAACAGCGTATGAAACAATGACCTCTATTGTTAAAAAAGAATTATAAAGAAATGTTAACGTACCAATGTTTTGAAGTTTTGCAAAACAATGCCTATCATTGATTATCTTAATACTTTTCCATAATCCAATCGGACTATTCATGTAGTGATTACAAATTCCTTTTCTCCGTCTCACCCGGTCCCTCCGTCTCACCCGGTTCTTAAAACTGGCAACTCTACAAATAGTCTGAATACTGCAAAGTTCGATACATCTCGTAAGATTTGTTTTTAAGACAGTTGAATCTCCAGATAGCAATCCATGTTCAAGAAGAGGCATCATTTCAGATGATTTGTCGCTATGGATGTCAGTTATTCCTGTAAAATGAGGGATGAAATATTTCTAAACTGATAAATAATATATTGGTAATTTAACAAAATATAACACTTTATATATCGTCAAGATTTCACTTAAAATTTTCAAAGGTAAATAAACAATATTTAGATTGTTTACACGTGAAGCATTTCTTCCATCGAAATTTTGATACAATCCATTGCCAACTTACGTGTCAGTTTACACCCGAACAATTTGAAATTAAGACATCTAGATTTGCTTGTTGGCATTTCGTGTGAATGTTTGAGTTTTAAGTATCTTCCTTGGATTGGTTTTGGAAGAATAAACACTTGATCTATGTTCCACAAGTTTTCAGGTGGGAATATTTTAAATTCCTGAAATAAATGAATTAATGTTGTTTACATGTGTAAATTACTTCCTTATGGCATTTGACAATATTTTACTCTTAAAAACATTTTTGTTCGTAAAAGTTAAATGAATTAGGAGACATGTTGCTTAAAAATGGTTGTATAAGATTATTTTATATGTTAACACAAACGAGTATACCATGTCCTTGTATAACTGTAGTTTATCCTTATTGTTGCCGACATATAACCTGAAAGTAGCCCACATGTCACATTCTTTGGAAACGTAAGTACCAACTCCTTCTATTGTTGTTACAGCAATTAAATCCACCTAAATTGATTAAAATTATTTGTACTAATATTGTTGACATAAGTCTGAATTAATTTGAATTTACAAATAATGTATCAGAACAATACCTAACTATATATATTCTTACGAACCTGTTTTGGATACAACCGTTTTAATATTAAATGAATAACTATTAAATAGAGATTACAAGTTGCCAAGAGAAATCTGGATTACTGTTGTTCATATACATATACTTTAAAGTAAAAGTATATAGCATATCTGACATATAGATAAGATATTGACATTAATATAATCATAATTTATCATAAAATCAAATAAGTATTTGATCATACATGGCAGGAGATAAGACAATATTTTTTTTCCTAGTCAGGTTAAGCAGCAGGAAGTATAATATCTTAATGCTTCCACTTTGAAAATGTTAAAACTTGTTTGAAAATACATGCATAAAGATAATATCTCCCAATTTAAATTATTCCTCAATGCATTTTCGTTTTTGCTAATATGAGAGAATATTTCTTGACATGAATTATACAAACCAAAATCCACGGTGTCGGATCTGTAGCATCATGAATCCAACCAGTAAAAATAGTGTTTGTATTTGTAGGTATTCGTTTTGTGGTTCCAGAAGAAACAGTGAGCTGACTTTTTGGTACCTGTTTGTCGTCGTCTAATTCAATACTCTCAAAGCATGCCTCACCATTTTCTACAGAAAAAACATTAGAAAATGTCTTACAAGTCTTACATAAACAAAACATATTCAAATAAAAAAAATAAATGTCGTTAAAAGGTTTGCAACCGGTAAAATTAATGATTTATACTGTATAATAACTGAAAGATCATTGAAAATGGAGTTTTGATTGACATTCACGTGACATATTCAGATTCCAGGATAACGCCAGTGTTCCATTTTATACCGAATTAAACAGTATTCTTTGAGTTTTCATAGTCTAAGAAAATGTCTTTCAGTAAGAAACTGGATCACGTGCACAAATAACTTACTGACGGCGTTGCCGAGTGGTTATCACACAAGACTGGCAATGTGAGAAATACTTTCCACATGGGTCAAACATCGCAAGTGGCAAGCCGTTGTTACTGTTAGCAAGAAACTTTAAACTCATTGTTTAGAACTGTTTGGTTCAAGGAACGGATTCCAAATTGTTTCAATACGGTTATAGCTTCGAAACAATCGAACTAAACAAGACTGATATTCGTAAAACTAAACTAACTTAAATAATTTATTCCCATATTAGAATATTCAAATGTCAATTAATGAAATTATTAGAATATAGTTTCAATGATAATCTCATGAAGTCAGCAATTTTATTGATTTCCTTTGCTATGTTGAAGTTTAAATGTTAAAATACTTATTTCTATCGAAAATGTAGAAGTAATAATTGGTGATACATAAGCAAATAAGCAAAACATATTCTTCTGAATTTATTTTCTTTAGCTTTATGAAGTTTACTTACGAGCTTCTATACTTGATATGAAAACCAGAAATGACATGTCGCCTGTTATGGTTTCTTTCAATGCAAATGTAAAAAAACGACCTCGTGTTCTCCTGCAATTTAATACTAGTACTGTAGATCATTTCAAAATATATTTCGTTTGCAGTATTCTACGAAAATAAGTTTGAACAAAATAGTTTAGAAGCGTATTAAACAGAGAAGATATTTAAACAAGAGGGCCATGATGGCCCTGAGGTCGCTCACCTGTATATAGCCCCCCCCGGCCCAATTTTTACCCAAGGGCTTTTATTTGTTTATTTGAACAGACTTGGTAGACACCCATAAGAAGATGTTTCATGCAAAACATCTAAGTTCTAGCTCATTAGGTTTTTTAAAAGAAGATTTTTTTAGTTTTTACTATACACATATAGTTAAAAACAATGACACCCCTCGGGCAGGGCCAGTTTTGACCCCTGGGCTTTTATTTGAACAAACTTTGTAGATATTTACTTAAATATGTTTCATGCTTAATATCTAAACTCTAGCTATTTGGGTTTTTTCAAAGAAGATTTTTAAGTTTTTGCTATACACATATAAGGAAAATCAATGACCCCCGGGGCAGGGCCAGTTTTGACCCCAGGGCTTTTATTTGAACATACTTGGTAGACACCCATTAGAACATGTCTCATGCTAAATATCTTAGCTCTAGCTCTTTGGGTTCTTTAAAAGAAGATTTTTTAAGTTTTTACTATATGCATATAGGGAAAATCAATGACCCCCTGGGGCGGGGCCAATTTTGACCCCAGGGCTTTTATTTGAACAAACTTGGTAGACATTCACTAGAAGATGTTTCATGCCAAATATCTAAGCTCTAGCTCTTACGGTTCTTTAAAAGAAGATTTTTTAAGTTTTTACTATATGCATAATAGGGAAAATCAATGACCCCCTGGTGTTGGGCCAATTTTGACCCCAGGGCTTTTATTTGAACAAACTTGGTAGACATTCACAAGAAGATGTTTCATGCCAAATATCTTAGCTCTAGCGCTTTCGGTTCTTTAAAAGAAAATTTTTTAAGTTTTTACTATATGCATATAGGGAAAATAAATGACCCCCTGGGGCGGGGCCAATTTGGACCCCAGGGCTTTTATTTGAACAAACTTGGTAGACATTCACTAGAAGATGTTTCATGTCGAATATCTAAGCTCTAGCTCTTACAGTTCTTTAAAAGAAGATTTTTTAAGTTTTTTCTATATGCATATAGGAAAAATCAATGACCCCCTGGGGCGGGGCCAATTTTGACCCCAGGGCTTTTATTTGAACAAACTTGGTAGACATTCACTAGAAGATGTTTTATGCCAAATATCTAAGCTCTAGCTGTGACGGTTCTTTAAAAGAAGATTTTTTAAGTTTTTACTTTATGCATATAGGGAAAATCAATGACCCCCAGGGCGGGGCCAATTTTGACCCCAGGGCTTTTATTTGAACAAACTTGGTAGACATTCACTAGAAGATGTTTTATGCCAAATATCTCAGCTCTAGCACTTTGGGTTCTTTAAAAGAAGATTTTTTAAGTTTTTACTATATGCATATAGGGAAAATCAATGAACCCCTTGGGCAGGGCCAATTTTGACCCCTGGGCTTTTATTTGAACAAACTTGGTAGACATTCACTAGAAGATGTTTCATGCCAAATATCTAAGCTCTAGCTCTTACAGTTCATTAAAAGAAGATTTTTTAAGTTTTTACTATATGCATATAGGGAAAATCAATGACCCCCTGGGGCGGGGCCAATTTTGACCCCAGGGCTTTTATTTGAACAAACTTGGTAGACACTCACTAGAAGATGTTCCATGCCAAATATCTTAGCTCTAGCTCTTACGGTTCTTTAAAAGAAGATTTTTTAAGTTTTTACTATATGCATATAGGGAAAATCAATGAGCCGCCGGGGCGGGGCCAATTTTGACCCCAGGGCTTTTATTTGAACAAACTTGGTAGACACTCATTAGAAGATGTTTCATGCCAAATATCTAAGCTCTAGCTCTTAGGGTTGTTTAATAGAAGATATTTAAAGATTTTTCTTTCGGTTGCCATGGCAACCAGAGTTCTGCATGGAATTAAATTCTTTGAACAATTTTTAAAGGTGACCACAAAAGGAACATTCCTGTGAAGTTTGGATGAAATTGGCTCAGTGGTTTATGAAGAGATGTCATTTAAAGCAAAAGTTTACGGACGGACGACGGACGACGGACGGACGACGGACGGGCGGACGGACGGACGGACGGACGCCGGACGAAAAGCGATCACAAAAGCTCAACCTGTCACTTTGTGACAGGTGAGCTAAAAACAGATCTTACTATCTCTCATTCAAAGATCAGCGAATATTTCATCTGGTCAAGTTTGAACAAAATAGTTAAGAAGCATATTTCTAAAGCTTTTTAAAGTGATCTTACGATCTCTTATTCATAGAGCAATGTCAAGGTAAAACAAAAAATGTTAAAAAGCGCATTTTAAAAAATTGTAAGAGACCTAACGAAATCTTAATCAAATTTTTGCGAACATGACACATTTTGTTGACCCTGACATGCGGTCATATCTAGGATACAATTGCTTCATATACCTTTAGAGATTGTTATGTGCTTTTGCTAAATGGTGCAGTGGTTTTAAAAGGTGGTGATGCCGTTTCAGTTGATGGTGCGTTCGTTTTGATAAATGATATATATTTATTATCTCTGATAACACGACCACATGTAAGTATGGAAGATCTGTCATTTTCTTACACCAAGTATATGATCAGTTTGATTTATTACACAAGGAAAAGTATTACACAATGGTACTTTATTATAGCATCAATAAGGCTTGCGACAAATTTACCTTAGATATACTTTTCCAGGAAGAGTGGTAGTTTCTGTGTTACAAGCTGAAGATTCCTGTAAAGTCACAGGTACATCGCTAACAAAACACTTGAAATAGGTATTTCCCTGAAAGAAAACATTTCAGCACATTTCATGCAATCAACAGACTATAAATGTTTAATTCATTAAGGTACTATGAAATTTCAAAATGCAGATCTTTAATTTATTTTACAAATTGTTTATTATTATTATTATTATTATTATTATTAATTGTAGAATTATAATTATTAAAAACTAAGTTGTACGGTTCTATAGAACAAAACCACATAAATGGTCTTTATAAAAAGGAAAACATACACAGTTTGCACACAATATATATGAAGAAAAGTCCTTACGGGAGAACACCTATAATGCATTATCTTCACTTTGTTGTTCACAATATTGTGAAGAGTATTTAAATAGGCTAGAATCACTGTCAAGTGCATTGAAACTAAGGGGCGTGGGTTTTAAGCCCAAGAAGGGGCAACCTTTTTCCTTTTTTGTCTTTTAAACATTTTTTTGTATCTGTCAGGTCCCTTATGGAAGAAAAAAGTGTTTGATTTTAATTATGTAATTATTGTAGGTTTTATTTGCTGAAAATGCCAAATTTAATGGCAAACATGATACCAGATATTTTCAAAGTTATATAATAAAAAAAATACACGGTAAAAGTATTTTATATTTTGCAAGACAAACCAATATACATTTTAAAAAAACTAGGCAAACTTTGAAAATTGTCCTTCATTTTGGTAAACTTAAGGGATATTTTGAATAAGGCTTTTTACATAGGCAAATGGTCAAACAAGTGTTTAAAGTGGGTGGGGTAGGGTTACATTTTTATAAATGTTTAAAACATTATGTTTAGAAATAATCATTTTGATCGTTTAATTTGTAACCCGAATGGCTATAATTGTTTCTTAACAATAAGCAATAGGAAAACATGTTCCATAATGATGATATTAAAGACTTTTTAGAGTTTTCTCATTTATTTTCTGAAATTGCCCTTCTAATGGTGCAGTTTTAGTTCAGAAAATGTCCATAACTCATAAACCACACGGTAAATTTTGTTTAAATGTTGCATACAGGTGACATTTAAGGCATATAACTGTCCTATGCTGTCAATTTTTCAGTTTCTTATAGTGTCCAATAGGGGTGTGCTACCTTAAATATATTTAATTATTTTACCATTCACTAACTTCAACATAGGATAAGATACATAATTGTTAAAAATATCATATAAATATAAATGTGTAAATTCCCTGAGCACGTGCATTTTATACCTCGAACGGCGAAACCTTTTTATATCTGATGTTGTGTTAGCTAAATATCTCGTGAACGTTGTCCGGTCTGCTGACGTCATTTAATTTGACCAAATTCACACGTTAACAAAAAATATGATTTGCGCAGCGAACAATTACCAAGTTTTATGCAAATCTCTATTGACGAAATCGTCATACAGAGAAGTTTAGTAATGTATCGCTAGGACTTGTTTACAAGTGGCAAGGCCATAAACAAGACAGTAGAAAAAGTATCAGCCAGAGGGAAACAAATATTGGGGAAATCGGTTTGCATTAGAGAAAAAGCTTACGACCTGTTGAAGAAGTGAGTAAACGCTGTTCACAGGCTAACATTTTGTGATATTTTCGACATCATTCGTCGGTTTTTTTCCGTTCATAATATTCATATAGACAAACTCAACATACCACGCGCTGTACATGCCTCGTATGTTGTTTTTATTTATAAAAAACATAAATTAACAACACGTGAAGGTAACTGAATTGTTTTACTACTTTCTTCTTAGTCTCCAAAGTATGATAAACACAGGGAAGTTCTTTGACGACAGCATACTGGACCTCGTTATTACAGCAGATTAGCCATTAGTTCCCTTTTTTTAGCCGGAAAGAAAACGACAAACAAGTGTATGACAACTGAATAAGTAAGACACCAGTCTATTAATAAAGGCTATTTTTAATACGCAAACGTATTAAAAATATTTTTAGCATCGGGGACCTCGACCTTAGTGTTGTACTGTTCGATAACTTCATAAAGTAAGAGGACTTCCTAAAGTATCTACTTTCTAAATATGAATGACATTAGTAATTAAACGAATGATATGTGATCAAAGGTGTTTTTGAGCAACATTGCCCTTGATCTTGACCAATGTCGCTTAAGTTGGAAGGCCGTCCAAGGTAGGTTTCCACTACGCTTGAAAGACATCGACCAATTAATAAAGGCTATGAATTATAACCAAAAGTGTAACAAGCATTATTAAGTATTATAAGAGAATTAATAAAATATCATAGGGGGCAATATAGTTCTTGGACAACAGTCACCCTCTCCCTGGTCTCTATCACTGTGTGATGTGTTTATTACATTCTTAAAATACTTTTCTAGTTTCTCAATGGGCAAGAATATTTATTATCATAAAGGGAGCTTAATTAAAAATAATGTTATTGTTTTTTGTTAATACTGCAATTGATCTGACTAGTCTCTATAACCATGTGCAGTTTCAGTTAGATATTATTTGATGACAAGATACATATACCAACACGTTTATCAAATAATGTCTCGCTTTTTTAAGCTTCTTTAGTTTATATGATAAATAACAAAGGAAATGACGTAAACTCACCTTACTAAAGAGTTAAGCAAGATAGAGTTATTTTTCTTAAACACTGCATTTTCTTTCAGTGTTTCTATCACTTTATAAAGTTTAAAATGAATTGGTCTACTCTTTGTACATTGTCCATAAGTATTTCAAATATTGATAAAAAGATAAACAAGTGTATCATATTTGGATATTTTTATATTATATTATTGCTTGAATGAATTAATATAGATAAAAATCTAAAACAATTAATATAAACAGTCATGGTGAATAATAATATTTTGTTCTAGAACATTTTATTATCTGCTATATACGTATATATAATGTCAGATCATGTACACATGCCAAAAACACAGTATAACTATTTCGTGGTTTCTTGCTATGTGTGATAAAAATACTATCAAAGTAATTAGTCATTGAATATTTGTAACATACATTACATTGTGAACCAATTCACGTTGAATTACCTTTCTCCAATGTATTTAAAGTTATTCGCCAGACAAGATTGTGACTGACAGAAGGACGGACGGGTGAATGGACGCACGGAAGGAATGAAGGAAGGACAGACTTACAAGGCGGCGACTATATACTTTCCCTTCTGTGAGAATAAACAGAAACGACTGGATCTCTTCTAGCAATCAAAATAGATCGCTTGACGCCATGTCACATTCCAAGCACACACTACAGACACTCCCAAGATGAGGATTGATTTTGTAATATTTCCCTACTACTTATTCGTGCCTTATTCCCGATTTACCCTACTTTCAACAGATAAAATAGGATTATTAGGACGATAGGTTTAGTCAAACAAAAGACTGATGCCCGCCACCATTGAATTCAACAGAGAACTGACCGGGTAATATTCCAAGAACAATTTTCAATAAATATTTGGATAACATCATTTGAAGCGTATTGATTGTTGAGGAGAGTGCTTCGACATCGGTTAAGCCGCTTGACATGGGTCGCTTTCTTCATCGTTGTTACGGCATTTATGTAATAGTTTAATGCCATTTGTGCACTTTTTAATGAAGTTTTTAAATAACTGTTTAAATGGTATGCATTTATAAACGGTATGTATTACTACAGGCTTGAAACATATATTTGTAGCTATGTTTCTATGAGTTATTAAACTTGTCATGGAGAATTCGGCACTAACGGACTTGCCCAATATATTTTTTATCAATTCATCTTTAATAAAAGGGATAAAACGAATTTTGAAGTTGGTTCTATATTAAATATATATAAAACATTCTCACCAAATGTGAAGACTTGATGTCAATCATAACTACCTCAAGTGAACGCTTACAGTCAATGAAATACCATTCAAAATCATTATCTGAAATAAATCAAACAACACTTTGCATACAGTTTTCTATCTGAGATTTAGTTAAATATGCTTACAAGTAAAATGGTTTCCTGCGGGAAACATTTTTAATGATATAAAGATATTTCATTTAACTATTTTCAACATTGTTTGGGGAAAAAATAAATAAACGTTTGTATCAGGAATATAGTTGAAAATATTCGATCAATAGAAGGAGGTCTATGGAGACTGGTGACCGTTGAAGACCGGAGGCGGGAGAGAATGTCGAACATACAACAATTACGGTATTTTTTTTTAAAGAAAATGATTAAATACCATTGTATGAATAATTCCGTGCAAAATTTACACAAATTTACGCACAAAATATCTCTATTTATTATGGCAGATGCCACTACGAATGTTTTGTAGATTTTCACTATAAACAATTTATTGTTTGTAAAATTTGAGATAGATATTAAAGAAACATTGATCATTGATAATATTTTTTTTCCAAACACATCATGCAAGATTTTCCACCTTAAACGTTAAAATAATTATAGAAAATTGGAAATATCACGTAATGGTTCTATATGTTCTTAATCAGATGTAACTCGAGGGAAATCCGTAACGTATCCGCTAACGGTATTTAGCTAGGTTTTCGAAAAGGTCAATTAACCAATCATGTACGGTTAATAGATCACATGCTCCTCCATGTACCGAAAACAGGTCACGTGCTCCTCCATGCATCAAAAATTAAACGCGTACCAATACCCTGCGGGCTTCGGCCCGCAGGGAATAAAATGACAAACGTCTAGAAGAAGTACATGAGTAATTTTACTACCTTTAATTATTTAATAATTTCGTGACTATCTTAGAACAAAGATTGGAAATAGATAAAAGTTCAGCAAAACGTACATATCAGGGCCGTTACACGTGTAATAAATCCTGCAAATGTATATCATGTGTGTCTTCAAGACATGAAGTTAAGTCTTACCTTGATGCAGTTTGTAGAGGGTTCGTTGATTAAGAATCAACTCTGAAATTAAACGCTAGGCAAATAAAATTTAAAATTAAATTTAAGAATGATTTCAATTCTTGATCTTATTAGTGTCTTTATTTTTGTTCATAATTACCGTTACAGTATTCTCCAGTATATCATTTTGTTCATCGTTTTGTATTTATTTGAATTTGAATGTCTGAATAATGTATTTTGTAAAAAATCGTTTATCAAAATTCTGTACATACAAATTTGATGAAATAAATGGTTGCAAAGGTAAACTTTCAATACTCTGAAAGTAATTGTTCAAAAGAGAACTAATATTCAACATTTAATAATGGTGCTTTATATATGGATGACAATATTTAATTTCATGTTTTACTGAAAATACTTTAAAGAAGATGTATAAGAATACATACCTGTTACCGTTTCATAGTAAATCCTTTGGACTGTTAACAATTGAAAAAGAAAGAAAGAAACATTTGAACCGTCAGACCGAAATTTTGAATATATTCTCTTTCATATAATGGTAAATGCTTCATAGAATGGTTAAAATCGTCTCACATACGATTTTATTCAAATCAGTTAATATAATTAATATTAATATTTAAAGAATCTTAGACTATTCGTTGGTCGAGATATAAAAGCCAGCCTGTATAGAAGTAAGCAGCTCCTGATCGAGGGGGATAAAGCATTGATGTGAAAAAATACGATCCAGTCTGTTGAAAAGTTGATTTTTTAAATAATTATTGTTTTTATAATTCAGCAACAGTAGGATTCAGACAAGAACAATCAAATAGTAAAATCGGCAGTGTAAATAATTTTCGCTTGAAAAATAGTGTCAGTGACCTTTATTATTTGGCCTGTTAGAATCTAAAAGTATTGGTGTGAGCCATGTTTAACGGATATTTAACACCGATTTGTCGTTTTCGGGCGACAATTAACCACTCGGGACTATGGCCTTCATGGTCACTTCCTAAGTCCAAATGCAAAAAATGTCATAGCAAACAAGTCGCGATATCAACGACAACTGTTTTGGAAACTAATGTGTCAAAACAGTAGAACCTATGTTAATTTAACTTAAGCAAAGTTCTCAATTATAGTGTATCTCGCAATATAATGCTGACATATAATACTAGTAGTAGTGTTTCAAAATAATTCTAATAACATAATTCTTCACTTCTGGTATACTTATATGTTTCAAATGTACGATTTTTTGTACTCAGAATTGCGATATGAGATAATATTTATAGCATTTATACGTGTGTATTTCGATTTAAATATTTCAGCAATTTAACTATATTAATAATAATGCTACTTTGATTTCTGTACGAAGCCGCCATTTACGATCTAAGCGTCTCATAATTTTCTCAAAAATTGTTAAAAATATATTAAAATTAAGAAAATTAAAACCGTTTTTAAAACATTAATTAATTTAACCCAACGTTATGATCTATGATATAAATGTTACTGATATAATATGGGAACGTCAGATCTTAAAATACATATACATTTATGATTTGAACTTCTTTTTATTAAGGACGTTTCTGGGTGTTTTCATAAAGACTTGTGTGCAAAGTTAAAACTGTCAACAGATTTCCCTTTAAGTTTGCATTTGGTAAGAATATGATAACAGACACTTTTATCGAAAAATGGCCGTTTTCATTGAAAAGCCTCCAGTAACAAGTTCAAACTGCTTTGAAACTATGAAAATGCTTCAATACTAATGAAACTTGGCACCATAGCCTCTGTAACAGCATGCTCAATGGTAAATTTCCTGTTACCATGGCAACGGGGGGACGTCTCAAAATTGCCAAAAATCACTATTTTGCATTATTTTTTCCATCAAAACTGATTTTAAAGTGCTGCAACTTCTCAATGAATTGAGATAGAGTAAAAGGCTTTTCAGCGTCGGTTACTAGTTACCCTAAGATCGACTTGAGGCCATTTTTAGCCTGTCACATGTCCAAAATTTTCTTGGCGATGAGGGGGACTCCGCCCCCCCCTTCAAACCCCCCAAACAGAAGGGGGCACATCCCCCTTCTGGCAACCCCCTGATGTAATATTTGGATGGGAGACGGCGCCGAAAAAGTGGTCACTTTTTTAACAACATTTCTCAAATGGAAAACAGTGTTTGGGGTCTAAATAGGGCATTTTTCACTGTTTGAGGCCTCAAAAAGGGGGGGGGGACAAAAATCCGTCGAAACACGCTTATATAAGGGAAAAGGTTAAAATACAATTCTACTTCGTAATGACAAACAAAAATTTAAAAGTTTTTCTTGGGGGCTGAATTAATAATTTATATATTAAATAATCATAGGGAAAACAGATGCATTCTAATCTAAATGGCAATTAAGATTAATGTACCGTGTCATTATCAAATGTTCATCTTCCTAATAATGTATGCTTACTAGCCAAGTGAACAGACCTAAACGAAACCTTAAAATAGTTTACTTGGTGTCAAAACCGCCAAAAAAAAATTAATATAATATATTTATTCGTATTTTTGTATTGTATATATGATATTGCAACAAAAACATATCTACATGCCATGCATGCGGGAATATGTATTTTAATATCGAGTGTAGAGGTTGGCCAATCAGAGACTAGAAAATCGAAAGTGGGCCTATACCAGAAAATGCAAAATCACAACCAAATAGCTATTGACCAGCATACATGATAAAATTAACTTTTAATATTTGTCCATTGAACATTGTAAAACCAAGATATCTTTTTTTTTCTTTTTCATAAACACTTGCAAAAATGTGTAAAGGTGAAATTGGTCGATCACGACAAATTCGATATAGTTTTTAGCATGTTTAAGATACATGCCAATTATTTATACTTTTAAAATTTTAAAATTATTTGATATTTTGTCCAAAATGACTAAAACGTATTGATGTGATTTATGACTTAAAGTTTTTTTTTCCTTGAGTTTATCCGAATGATCGGTAGGGTAGGTGCCCATTGATTGATCCATTTACTTAAAGATTTAGAGCTTTAACTCGTACATGACATTTGATTAAATATGATGACATGATGAATTTTTTATAATTTCCGAAATAAAAGGTATGTTAAATGTAAATTATAAAATTGATAAGATACTTATTCTATTTATAGCTGCATTTTATGAATTTTCATTAAAACAGACATAGCTACAATTGTTTAATCAAATGGGGTTGATAGCGACTCTTGTTCTTAATTTTGCGTCGAGACGACCAAAATGACTTTATAACCTTATAAATCAGTAACTTCATTGTGGCGAAATCGAGAGTACATTTCCTATTTACATTTCCTATGGGACATCCGTGCATCAACAGAAAATAAAACGATAAACATGCCTGTTAGTACAAGTAAAAAGGTTTCCTGCGGGGAACATTTTTAATGATATAAAGATATTTCATTTAACTATTTTCAACATTGTTTTTTTATTGTTTTGTTTTTTTTTGTTGTTTTTGTTTTTTTTGGGGTGGGGGGTGGGGGTTAAATAAACATTTGTTTCAGGAATATAGTTAACAATAATCGATCAATATAGAAGACTGATGACCGTTGATGAAGGGAGAAGGTCGAAGTATAAACAATTTATTGTTTGTAAAATTTGAGATACATATTAAAGACACATTGATAATTTTCAAACACATCATTCAAGTGTTCCACCTTAAACGGTAAAATAATTATAGAAAATTAGAAATATCACGTAATAGTTTTTTGTTCTTAATTAGGTGTTATTCTGACTTATTCCCTAGAGGTAAATCCGTAATGTACCGGCAAACAGTATTTAGCCAGGTTTTCGAAAAGGTCAATTAACCAATCATGTACGGTTTACAGATCACATGCTCCTCCATGTACCTAAAACAGGTCACGTGCTCCTCCATGCCTCAAAAGTTAAACGCGTACCAATAGGGAATAAGTCCAAATTTAACGGTATATTTCCGCATCTTATGACGGTTGTTTCGTTAAAACAACTAAATAATTTACATCGGAAAGGATATCGGTAAAAGTTGATTACATGGAACATACTATATTTTCTTTTTACAACTATTGAATTTTTTATAAAGTCAAAGACTGTGTCGTAACGCATACACATTTTCATTTTGCTTGTTAAAATTCGTATTCAAACTTTTTGCCGTTGGATTTTCCTTTTAGAATTATATTTTCTAATCAATATTTGAAAAGATTTACAACCATACTGATAAAAAGGTTAATAAAAGTGCAGACTGCTTGGTTTTATTAGGCGGACGGCAACATATTTATACATATTTATAAAATATAACTTTAACTGAATAACAAACATTAAACCAGAAATTTAAAGAATGTAATATTTTAGATAGATTTCAACCTTGAAAAAAGATAATTTACCTTTTGTGTTATAGAAACAGTGAGTCGCTCCCTGAGACACCGTTGCTTCGTTGAACTGGTAGCAATTTGTATCTGCCTCCTGTCAAAATATAGGTTATTGTACTTGAGATATGTTGGTTTTTTTCAACCGATATAGAAAAATGCCATGTTCAGTGCAACATTTGATATATGGCACAACTGTACAAAAGATTTAACAAATTCGATTTCATTTCACAGTGATGCGTTTATTTCAAGAACAGGATGGAATATGATGTAAATTGTAAATAAAGATTACGTTCAAATAGGTTTCAACTAAACTGTGTAATGTTTTACTTCTAAAATTAAGAAAATATGTCAAATGTCTATTTAGTAACTTGCCTTTTATTTATTTGATTTCTGATATTTAAATGTCATCTTATTATTACTGTTAAAATAAAAGCCCTTGCCTTTTCAAGAATGAAATCAGTCTCCAATAGTCTAAATGTTTCATGTCCATAAACGTATCCAATGTCATTCCAATTCTCTCTTGTGCAAATTGAAATGTGGAGGATTTGAGTTAACATTTCAGATGGCCCTGAAGTAATACATGAAACTTAATATTTTATCTTGTAATCATTCTGAAAAAGCAGTATAGCATGTGAAGAAAACAAAGTGACGAACAAACATTTAGTTTTAACAATATTTTATCTATAAGCATTACAT